ATATATATATACATACATATGCATGTACCTATACATATCATACATATATACAGTATTACAAATACATATATATATATATGAAACGTACATACATACAAACATACATACATACATACATATATATACATATATGTACCCATGCGTATCATACATATATATTTATATATATACAACAATATATATTTGTACATACATACATACATGCATACATACATACATACATACATATATACATGTAGGTTTGTACATGTAAGTGTACATATATATATGTATACAAATATACACATACATATTTATATACACATGCTTTTGTACATATAAATATACATACAGAAAAATATAGATATAGATGTATTTATTTATTATGTACATACATACATGTGTATATATATATACATATACAAATGCGTATGTATATATAATATATATATATACATACACACATAATTTGTCATATACACGCATGTGTAACAATATACATATAGTTATCTACATCTACGCATGTATGTACGCATGCTACACGTATGCACGAGAACGAAGTACAATAGTGCTATGGCACCCCTTGCCAAAACGAGGTTGCTGCCAAGAAAAGGTTGCCTCTGCCCGGAAGCTTGCAGGACGCCTGCCGGGGAACTGCTGCAAGTTGGCCCATGAGGAGAGTGCTGCTCCCACTTCTGCTAAATTCCTCAGCCATTGCCAAACTCCAGCACTGCATCACTATCTACATTCAGATCAACCGCTCTGCTGTAGCTGCAGTCCCGTTCTTGTCTTCCTTTGCGACTTGTGCAAGATTAGCAAATCAACGAAGCAAACATATCCTTCCGCATAAGTGCGTGGGCCGTGGATATGCATATGCTGCATAATTATGTTGTATGATTCTATGTATGTCGGTCTCCTCCTCCACCTCAGGCTGACGCTGCTGCTCCTCCTATCTACATCTGCTACTGCTACTGCTACTACTTCCACACGCAGCAAAGAGGTCCTTGCTTGGCTCCCGTACTCTGGCAGGGACGGCTCCCCGGCGCATAAAGCTCAACTCTTCACTTGAGAGCCCCGAATGAAACGTAAAAGGATTATGACATCTCCCGACCCGAAGGTCCCGTAAGCGGAGAGTCTGGAATCGGAGTGTATCCGAAAAGTGGCAAAAGCAGTCAATGCGCGGGCAAAGAAAAAGGCATTAGCGGCTGTCCACTAAGGCTTCTGCAGTGACATTTAAGGCCTGCAGGTAGCAAGTAGAAGGCGCCTGTACGTTCAAAATGAAGAAACAAACAACTCCGCACACAGCTTGACTGAGCGACTGCATGCTACACTATTATCCCCCTAATTATGGCAGCTCCGGGCAGCGCACATACAGAAAAGCCTGGCAATTGAGCATATGCTGGGAACCAGCTTCAATGTGGACACGGCAAGCTGGCTTAGCATCATCAGTCAGAAGGTCCCCATACTGTGTATCATGTAGCACTGCCCTATAGTGCCCTGAACTAGGCTGTGGTCCTTCGTGCAAGAAGGTGATGGCCCGACAGTATCTTGAATACTGCAGCTCCAGCGGACGTGCATGATTCAGATGGTGTTGAAAAGTGGGCAGGACTATGTAGGGCTCTGGGGTTACTTGAACAGCAACCTTACTGATGCTCGCTGCGGTTGTATGAAAGCGGTTTATCTGAATCAAGACCACAGGGGGGCTCAGATGTCAGCCCATGCAGGCCAGCCTGAGCATCAGACCATTGATCAAGCAAGTGCTGGAGAGACAGGGGCTCAGCATGCTGAGCCAGCTGCTCAACGAGGGATGCTGGCAAGAAGAGTGGCCACGTGTGACCTTCTTCCAGGCTACACGGCTCTTGCTCTGCGTTAAGCTGCCTGGCTTCCCATGAACCATATCTTACAGAGGGGTGGAGGCGGGGCCTAAGGTATGTAAGATACTCTACGATATCATGTTGCCGTGATGGCTGGGACCAACCTGTATGCAACGTGCGCCAAGCTATGTTGTTCCAAAGGTTGACAGGCTGAGACTGAGCGCATAGCCAGCGAATCACTCGCAGCAAGTCAGGCTGCAGAAGCTGAGAGGGTTCAGCGCCGGCTT